TATACCAATGGAACATAATAGAAAGCCCAGAAATAAATCCATGAATTATGATCAATAAATTTACAACAAAAATGTCAAGAGCAAATTATGGGGAAAGGACAGTCTCTTCAATAAGTGATGTAAGGAAAACTGATATTCACATGCAGATGAATAAAGTTGGACCCTTATTCCATACCACACAAAAAAGCTTAAAATGGCTGAAAGCCACAAATGTAAGATCTCAAACTGTAAAAGTGCTAGAAGTTAACATAAGGAAAAATCTTTTAACAATGGTTTGGGCAATGATTTTTTTGGATATGATCCCAAAAAGTACAGACAACAAAAGTAATATAGGCAAATGGCATGGCATCAAACCAAAAAGCTTTGTACAACAAAGAAAACCATCAACAGAGTGAAGAGACGACCTATGGAATAGAAAAATATATTTCAAACCATGCATCTTATAAGAGATTAATATCTACAATATATAATGACCTCAAACAACTTAATAGCAAGAAAACAGATAACTTGTTTAATAAATGGGCAAAGGATCTGAATAGGTATTTCTCAAAATAATAGATGCATGCTATCACTTATCATCAGGGAAACACAAATCAAAACCACATGAAATACAGCCTCATAAATGTTAAAATGGCTATTATCAGAAAGACAATTATAACTAAAGTTGAGAACGAAGTGGAGAAAAGGGAACAGTTGTATACCGTTGGTGGGAATGTAAATTGGTATAGCCATTATGGAAAACAGTATGGAGGTTCCACAAAAAATTAAAAATAGGATTACCATATGATCCAGCAATTCTACTACTGGATATACATCCAGGGGAAATGGAATGAGTACCTCAAAGAGATATCTGCACCTCCATGTTCATTGCATCATTATTCACAATTGCCAAGATATGGAATCAACCTAATTGTTTATAGATAGACACACACACACATCATATATATGAATGTTATTTGGTCTTAAAAAAGAAGGAAATTATGTCATTTGCAATAACATGGATGAACGTGGGGCACATTATGCTAAGTGAAATATGCCAGGCACAGAAAGACAATATTGTATGATCTCAATTATATGTGAAATCTGAAAACATCAAACTCATGGAAGTAAGGAGTAGAAGGGTGATTGTGAGAGTTGGGGGTTGAAGAAAATGGGGAGATGTTGCTCAAAGTATACAAGGCTTCAGTTGTGCAGGATGAAAAATGTCTGAAAGAACCAATCATCCAAGATAGAAAGACTCTAAAACTCCCAGTCCCCTTTCTTTCCACCTTCATTCATCATTCTCTCTGATTGCTTCTTCTAAAGCAATTCATTCTTCTAATTTTCTGTTGCTAGCTCAAAGCTTGAGCAGCATATAACTGAGCTATTCAAAGAGCATCTTAACTAGTCTTGGCATCTTTATACCCCATTCCTGTTACCATGTTAGATGTATGATATGTTCCAAAATAGTCCCAAAATACAGCTGTGATTCCATCATTCCCAAACCCTGAAGTCATCACTTGCTTTTTCCTTTCTTCTAAACCTAACCCACAGACACTTATCTGTTCTTGTATCCTACCATGTTTTCATCTGAATTTTCCCCTTCACCTATATTGCCTCCTTTTCACCATGGCTTATGTCTTTCTGTCCCCTTTCCTTGACTGATGGGACGTTTTTCACTTGAAATACTCTTCCTGTTCTACTTATTACTTAAAATTATACCTATTTTCTCCTTTAAGTCATAAAATATGTAGCATAAGTGGCAGCATATTAATTTTTGTTTTTATTAATGTAATCAATATTTTTCAAATACCAGATGAGTATATCCTATGTGTTAATATATAGTAATTAGTACTCATTCAGGGTAAAATAAGAGAAACCCGACTTTAACTTCTTTAAGATAGGGATTTATTTAGAACACAGTCGTTGAATTAGAATAAGGAAGGATGGGAAATTACTTTATAAACATGTACAATTTTGCTGTATTCAACACTATGGCAGATTTAAATTAAAAAAAAAAGTGGAATATTTTAAAACGCATAACTAGGGAGCTTTCTGTAAAGGTACTGAAGTGTCTTGATGAATCCAGTGATAAGATTGCCATTTGAGTTCAAGAAAACCTGGATCCTAAGACAAAACCATCATTAGGTCCCTCTCCCTATCATGATCTCACTGCATGCATTATGTTATCCATCATCAAATCTACCAAAGTATTTATTTCTCCTTTACTCACAGTCATGACAAAGTCCTTGATTACAGCTTCCCAGTTCAAAATAACGTGTACAGACTGAGTTGATATTTTCATCCATTACTGATATCCAGGTGTCTTAGTCCATGTGGGCTGCTATAACAAAATACTATAGACTGGAAAGCTTATAAACAACAGAGATTTATTTCTCACAGTTCTGGAGGCTGGGAAGCTCAAGAACAAGGTGTCATATGATTCAGTGTCTGGTGAGGGCCCACTTTCTCATAGGTGACACCTTCTCTGTTCTTGTGCTGTAGAAGAGGCACTAATGCCAATCACAAGGGTTCCACCCCTCGTGTCATAATCATCTCCAAAGGCCCCACATCCTAACGCTTTCACCTTGGGGGGGGGTTAGGATTTCAAGGTGTGAATACTGAGCAGATACATACATTCAGACTATAGTACCAGGAAAGTATCTGATTGGTTCTATTTGGATTATTTGTTGATACATTATTCCAGCCAGGAGTTGGGGCTACATGGCAGGGAATAGTGGCTGTTCCCCAAAAAGGGAGTGCTCTGGGCACATAATATCATAGGAGCCTACTCCAGGGGTTTGTAAAGATGAAAAGGACCAAATCCTGACTCAAGGAGGTCATAATAGAATAAATGGATGAGATACTTCTCTCTGGGTACATTTAAAGCCATTTTCAAATCCAATAAGATATTTTACCTAATTTTAGTGCCCTTCCTGCCTTTTTTACATTAATTTATGATTTTACATTTTTAGACATTAATATCAATTTTAGTATGTTTGGGTGGTTACATTTAATGTGGATTTTTTTTAATAGCAGTACTTGTGGGGAAATGTAAGATCAAATTAGTCTTTAACACATTTTTCAAGTAATTGAGTTGTATCAGCATGCCTTAACTCTTCCATCTAACACCACTTCATGATTCTTCTGAATTCTTCTTAGTTTAATGGGATTGCTCTGATTACATTTTTCAAAGCCCTGTGAATGTCACTGTCCGGGTATACGAAAAGGTTTGGTTTACACACTCAAAATTCTTCTGGGGAAACAAGGCTGGCATTGCCTCTTGCAGTACTTATTTCCTTCTTCTGTTACACCTGGGCTGCTTTATTTATCTGGCAGAGTCTTTTGCTGCCAAAAATATATTTAGGACATTTGCTTCTCTAATTACCACAGCATAAAGAGTCTTCTCAGAGGAAGTTGGAGAGGGGTCCCCACACTAAGAGCCAAATGAGGAGAGGAGTGTCCTGCTACTCAGAAATTCGTTGAATAGAAATTTGTAAGCTACTGTGGGCAGAAACCTGAGTGAATCCTGAGGCAGCCACATGGGAAAGCACTAAGCATAGTGTCAAAAGATCAGAGAATCTGGGGAAGTGATCATAATAACAAATGAGTGATGTGTTCAGAATCGTTTTAACATTCTTTATGTTTCAGAGTAAGATAGAGTGGGAAGGGAAGCATAATGACAATAAAATTTGCCAAGCACTTCCCAATTTCACATTCCAAGTCGTTAAATGGTTCAGTAATATTCTTTTATTGAAACAATTTACCATGGTACTTTTATAGACAAGTTCACTTTCTCGGGTAACTTATCTTTACTTAGGACCCTCATCTGTACTGCCTTCCCCCTCCTCGGCCTTACTGATTTTCATTTCCAGGCAATAAATTGAATGATAAGCTCTCCCAAATAACTCTAAATTTCATAATCTCTTAATATTTCCAGAGAATATGTAAACACCCTTTCCACAGAAAATGGAAGGCAAAGATTTAAATACTATTAAAGTATGCTGTATTTAACAAAAATAAAAATAAGTAAATTGAGATCCTTAAAAGCTAAATAATTTAAATTTCAAGGGTTGATATGCAGGTATAATATTTGAAAGGACAGAGATAATGTAAATGTTTTTTTGTCGGACACAACATCAAGTTAGTAAGAGTTTTTTTTAGAAAAAAATAAAAATAAAAAGGGAACATTGTGTTGATCTCTAACTTTTGTTGTTGCTACTGACCATGAATGAATTAATTTATACATTGCTCATGACTTATAAGTATCATATTTAGATACTTTTCACTTAGTGTTTGTAAGTTTTTCTGAATCACTTTTGGTTATATTATAAACTGATGTATATGTTGATGCACATTTTTGTGATGATTGCATTTTAATTATTTTTCAAAAGCTCTTACAATGATAAAATCATTTTTAAAAATATAGGAGAATTCAGGGTTTTCATCTGTTTTTCATATGTAACAAAATCTATGATCTTATTCTTTTCCTTAGTTGAATTATATACCATTTAAAATTGAAGAGCTTTTCTCTAAGACCAGCCGGAAACTTTAAAACTAGTATGAGAGTAAGATCTTGATGGATTATGGATTGTTCAAAACAACTTCTCTTAGCTTTGAAGTCTATGACCTATTCTGAGAGCCTTGGTCATTCCTATTTTCCTTTATCACATTGCTTGACATGTGGCTGGAAATGATCAAGTCAAAAATGATCATCATTTCAATCTTGCATCATACTATAATCTAGTAAAAATAAGTTTAGGTGACAATTAAAAAATTGACTTTAAATTAAAATTCATCCCCATGGGGCACCACCACTTAAAGGCCTAATGTTGCCTCTGTTATATAAATAATCACATAATAAGATACCCGTGTATAACACTAAGCTTGTTTGTTCTGTCAATATTAATTCCTTGTTCCTTCATGTGGCTTTTGACATCTATGAAAAGATTTAACCTCATTGCAAAAGTATTATACACTGAAAAATAAGTATATCAAAATCAATAAAATTTTAATAAATGGAGATTTTCAGAAAAGAAAATAAATATTAAAACCATATAGACTTACCATCCAATTTCTTTAAGGAATCTACTGGGGCCCAGGAAGACCCAAAGAGATCATTCATCAGCAAGTATGAAGTATGACACAGCATTGTAGGGGTGGATCACTCAACAGAAATAGCTCATTTCATTTCTCATGCGATGCTCTTTCTACCTAAGTATCTGCTGTGTGAATACAGAGAATGTGATATTTGTAGAAATGACAGAAGTAATCCAGGAACAAACATACAAGAGATTACTCTGAGTGGCTATTTTTCCACTGCTTTGGGGTTGAGGGTGACCTTGGAGATATAATAATGAGAATTGAAAGGAAATATTCAAGATAGTCCAACAGGGGAAAAAGTTAAATTTTATCAGCTCAGTAATTTTAGGTAAAGTAGGAACTGGGATTTCTCTGAGATTCATCATGTTCTAGAAGTTTAAGAGGAAGCTCTAGTTTGGGAAATGGATTATATTCCATAAACCGCTAATGAATTTACAAAATAAAAGTTTTAAATAATCAGGTTCCATTTCACATCTACTCAACTTGCAAACTTTAAACAATTAACATCTAATTGGTGAGGATTCTGTATTAAAAATTAGCCTACCTTAGAGGTAAACAATTTAGCTTACAAAATCAAAATTATCTGGACCTAATGAATCAAATCCTGGGAAAGGATACTAAAAATAATTGCAAAAGAGGTAATATAATATGCACATTAAATTTTACTTTGCATGACTAATTATAATCATGAAAAATAGAAACAGCTAAAATGCCTTAGAGCTCCTTAAATAAGTTTCTCTTCATCTTCAAAAGAGAAAATAATGTAAACATTCAATATGGTAATTGTGAACTGGAAAAACCATGAACAATTCTTTTGGTGTAATGGTAAGCTAAAAAGGCAGAATGGAAAATTATCATGGTGTTAAAACTTGTTTTTATGTCAAGAAACACTGGAAAAATATTTATAAATGCAAACACTGATTTTAGGACTTGAGAATTACAAATTAATATTCTTTCTTTTACGGTTGTCTCTTCAAATTTCTAACAATGTCATCAATAAATGCAATCCAAATCCCCTGACACACTCCTACATCAGTAATTTAGCCCACCTTTCAAAGAGTTTCACAAGTCCTCTGCAAAGAAGTCCCAGGTATTTTCTTTCTCCTTTCTAGATGGCCTTGGATGCCTACAAAAGAATGAGAGAATGAATCATCCTTGACATTTCTGCAGAGTCACCCTTTACATTGCTGCCACAGCCTGTACCTTTCCAAGAGAAGACTGTTTTTCTTAGAAACTAACTCTTACTGGTTTCAAAGCTGCAAGCATCTTACTAGGCCCTCCATCTTTTGGGGGAAAGAGACCCTTTGGGTTCTGTGCAAACAGGAAGAACTTTAGAAAACAGCCAAGAGATGTCTAGTGTGGGAAATGGATTATATTCCATAAACCACTAGTGAATTTACAAAATAAAAGTTTTAAAAATAATCAGGTTGCGTTGAATATCTATTCAACTGGCAACCTTTAAACAATTAACATCTAATTGGTGAGGATTCTGCTTCAAAAATAGCCCATCTTATTGACACATGATTTAGCTCACAAAATAAAAAAAATCTGGACCTATTGAATCTGGGTTCCTCTATTCTGCCACCAAGTCCCAGTCTATGGAATGTCCTCCCCCAATGTGTTCTTCCCATCTCCATTAAAAATTGCACAATGGGCAGGGACCAGCACATTTTTATTTACTGATTATCTCTAGAGTATATGGTAGAGTCTGGAACTGGATAGATGTTCAACAGATATTTATTGAATGAATGAATGAACACAGACAGACTCCTGGGAGCTGCCAGTTCATCAGGATATCCATCATAATGAGGCTTAATCAATGAGTTAAGGCTCCACCAGACACAGGGATGTGCATTGCAGTCTTGCATGGATAAGACCCAGTATGTGAAGTACACACAGCTTGATTATTTATTTATTTATTTTTAATTACACATGGAAACTCAGTCCACAAAGCTCTGAAATACCCCCATCCTCCTTTCTGCTGCTTTATGTTTTTAAGAGGTTTGTATTTCATTGACCTGCTATTTTTGTGCCTCATATTCTACTCCAGCCTCAGGGAAACCCTCTTAGGTCCTCATCCTCACAGGCTCCCTCTATTTCATCTGTGCTTTGTCATGTGCAGTATATTCTTCTTGTAGAAGATCTTCCTCTGGCACCTAGAACATAGTAGGTACTCAATACAAATTTCTAAATAGGTCAACTATTCATCTGTTTAGGGTTTTGTTTGGAAAGGAAAAGTATAATTCCATGATCCCTTTCTTACCTTTAAGCCACTTTAATGAAAATAGGAGATTTCATTTCTTTTCCTACAAAAATGTTTCTGCGTCTTAGTTCATGAGAAAGATATAAAGCGTCCTCTCTAGTTATCTTTCCCTTATCTTTGGAAAGATACAAAAACATTTGGAAGAAGAAAAGAATTAAAAGTCTTTTATATAAAATGTCACCTGTTTTATCTTAATAATTATTATTCACATGTATAGTCCTTCCACATTTTCTTTTGCATTAAAAACACCCTTGCAAATGTACTATTACGTTTGATGTTTCATTTTTTATTCATTTATTCATTCATTTAACCAATGAGTAATTATCGAACACTTAATAAATGCCGGGCACTATACTAGCAACTGGGGATTCAGAATGGATTGCAGATGTATCCATAAACACAGAAGCAAAGACAGTGGCAGGGACTAAACATGAAAGCTACATAAATAAATATGTTATTATAATTGTATAAGGGCTACAGAATAAAAGTCCAGGGCACAATGATATTTTTAAATGCTAAGAAAGGTGTCACGATGTAAATACCCTTTCAACTGAATCCTAAACGATGGTAAGGAGGCATCTAGGTGAATAGTATGAATAAAGCATCTTAAGATGTAGAAATGAATCATATAATGTTCCAGAAGTAGAAATAGCCTTGGTCAGTATGAGAATAAAAAGGAAGACCAGCTTGACTGGAATATAGTGAAGGAGAGTAGAATGACTAGAAATGATGCCAGAGAAAAAAATAGGCTTCAGATTACTCAGAGCCATATAAGTAAAATTTACTACTTTAAGTTTGATTCCCAAAGCAATGAACCTAACAGACATATAAGAACACTCTACTAAACAACACCAGAATAATCATTCTTCTGAAGCACACATGGGACATTCCCAGAATAGATCATATGTTAAGCCATGAAAATAGTTTCATATGGAAGAAGATGGAAATCATACCAAATATTTTTTTTAATCATAATGAAACGAATTTTGAAATCAATAGGAGAGGGAAAAGTGGAAAATTTACAACTGTGTGAAAATTAAACACCATATCATTGAAAGTTAACTAACTATTGAATCAAAGAATGAATCAAAAAGGAAATTAGAAAACATGTTGAGGCAAACAAAAACAAAAAAAGAGTATAACAAAACTTATGGGATGCAACAAAAGCAGTACTATGAGTGAAGTTCAGAGTTATAAAATCCCACATTAAAAAAGACGGCATAATAGTGAGGCAATTGACAAAATTTGCATAACATATGTAGTACTGTATCAATGTTAATGTCCTCATTTTGGTACTGTAGTTATGTTTCAGGGAAAACATGCATAGAAGTATTAAAGGGCAAAAGGAACATCACGTCGGTAACATACTGTTAAACTTTTCAGAAAAAAGAAAACAGACTAAAGCAAATGTGATAAAATGTTAACATTTGGGGAATCTGAAATGTATACAGGAATTCTTTGTACTATTATTATAACTTTCCTCAATAAGTCTGAAGTTATTTCAAAATTTAAAAAACTCTTTAAAATAAATAAATAAATTAGAAATAGCTCAAATAAACAACCCAACTTTATGATTCATGGAGGAAAAAAAAAAGAACAAACTAAGCCCAAAGTAAGTAGAAGGAAGGCAATAACAAAGATTAAAGCAGAAAGAAATAAAATACAACATAGAAAAACAATAGAAAAAATTAATGAAACTAAGAGGGAATCTTTACCCTTTATGTTAGCCAAAAGGCCAAGAAATGATGAGCTGATTTTAAGAAAATACAAATGAAATCAACAAAACCTTAGCTAAAGTAAGTAAAAAAGATAAAAAATTCAAATAAATAAAATCAGAAATAAAAGAAGAGGCATTAAAACTGATGCCGCAGGAATAAAAATGATTATAAGAGGCTGTTATAAAAAATTATACATCAACAAACTTGATAACTTTGAAGAATGGTTAGAAAGAAATAAGTTACCAGGAATAAATTATAAAGAAAGTGTGAACAGACTAATAACAAATGGGGAGATTGAAACAGTAGCCAAAAGTTTTCAACAAAGAAAGGCTCATGACCAGATGGCTTCATTGGCGAATTATACCAAACATTTGAAGAATTATTGTCAATCCTTTTCAAACTCTTCCCAAGAATCAAAGAGCATGTAACACTTCCAAATGTATTCTATAAAACTAACATATCTGATACCAAAGCCAGACACTAGAAGAAAAGAAAATTATGGGGCAATATCCTCAATGAAAATTGATGCAAAAATTCTTAATTTAATATTAATTTAATATTTTACTAACAAATAAAAATCAGTCACACATTAAAAGGATCATAGACTATGACCAAATGGGATTTATCCCTGAGATGCAAGGATGGCTCAATATATGAAAATTAATTAACATGATATGCCACACTAAGAGAATAAAGAAAAAAATACCACTATCTCAATAGCTGAAGAAAAGGCATTTGACAAAACTTAATAATCTTTCATGATTAAAAATACTCTCAAAAAATAGAACTGAAGAAATATACGACAATGAATAAAGGCCATATATGAGAGGTACACAGCTAACTCATACTCAGCTGTGAAAAAAAAATCACCTTTATTTCTAAGAGCAGGAATAAGACAAGGATGCTCTCTCTTGTGATTTCTATTTGACATTGCACTGTAAGTCCTAGCCCACATGAGTAGGCAAGTTGAAAAACTAAAAGGCATCCAAATAGGAAATGAAGAAGTAAAATTGTCCCTGTTTACAGATAATATGATATTATAAATAGAAAATCCTAAAGACTAAAAAAAATGTTAGAACTAATGAACAAATCCAGTAAAGTTGCAGGATACAAACTCAACATATAAAAATCTGTTGCATTTCTGTATGCTAACAAGCTATCTGAAAAGGAAATCAGGAAAACAATCCCATTTAAAATAGCACCAAAAGATATAAAACACCAAGGAATAAACTTGACTAAAAAGGTGAAAGATCTGTATTGTAAAAACTACAAAATATTAATAATATAAATTAAACAAGACATAAAGAAATGGGAAGACATTCCATGTTGATGTATTGGAAGATTTAATATTATTAATATGTCGATAATGCCCAAAGTGATCTATAGATTCAATGCAATCCCTGTAAAAATTTCAATGACATTTTTGTAGCATAGAAAAAAAAATCCAAAATTCTTGTGAAACCACAGAAGACCACGAATAGCAAAATCCATCTTTATAAAGAAGAACCAGCTGGAGGCAGCACACTTCTTGATTTCAAAAATAGTACAAAACCACAGTGACCAAAACAGTATTGTATTGGCATAAAGACAAATATATAAACCAATTAAACAAAGTAGGAATCTCAGAAATAAATCCATACATACTTAGTCAACTAATCTTCAACAAAGAAAGATTCAGAGCTTATACATAGGGAAAGGATGAAAGGATAGTCTCTTTAACAGTATTGACAAAACTGAATATCCACATGTAAAATAATGAAATTAAACCTTTATTTTATACTATATACAAAAAAACCCCTCAAAATGGATTAAAGACTTAAACATAAGACCTGAAACTGTAAAATTACTACTAGACGAAAATTTAGGGGAAATCCTTCATGACATTGATTTTGACAATGATTTCATACATGACACCAAAATCACAAGCAACAAAAACTAGACATGTAGAACTGCATTAAACTAAAAGCTTCTGCATATCAAAAGAAACAATCAATAGAGTAAAAAGGCAAACTGTGAATGGGGAAAATATTTGAAAATCATATATCTGGTAAGGAGGCACTATAGAAAATATATACGGAATACCTGTAACTTAATAGTGAAATCACTTATAACCCATAACAAAAATGGAGTAAATGCTTGCTTGAA